ATAATAAAGTATTAAAATCACGATTCGTTTTTTGTTCTAAAAATCATATTGTTTTGTACTTAATTAGGAAGATAGCAAGTTGTAACTGTTTATAACTTTTATATCGGAAATTATGTTTTAATTTTTATAAATCAATAATTTGCTATTTGTTTTGTAATAAATTTGTAAAAATCGGTTTAAAAAACAATTACGATAACGCTTATTTAATTATAAAAATTAAAATTAAATTTATTATTAGTTTATTCGAGAATAAAAGAAAGCCGTTTAATTTTGATAATACAAAATAAATAATGATCAATTACAATTCATTAAACACAATAGCATAATAATAGTTTGTTTAACTTGGATAAAGAAATATAAAGATTAATTGAAACCAAATTAATAATTGAGATAATAATATTAGACAGGAATTGTAACGAAGTTTTCTAAATATTTTTTGAAGTAGAACAAATCAAACGAAATTTTTATTACTATTGTTTAATAAGTTTTGAAAACTTGAATACTTACAGTGTCTTAAAAACCTAACTGATTATGATAACTTATATACCACACCTTTAAAATTTCTTAAACTTTAACTTTAAATGCACTTTTAATACCTATTTATACTCAAAAACCTTCTAAAGAAAATTCTTAGCGGTTGTTATGCTCTATTTTTTAAAAAGGTCGCTTCTAGTATTATATGTAGGGATCTCCTTTGTGAAAAAAACTATTTTAATTCTGTGTATCTTTTTTAAATTTAGAAACAAAATTTGGCACACAAATAATTTTATGTAGACATGATTTAAGTAACATATAAATATCCCGAACCCGAAATAACAAAATTTACTCAAATGTTCACGTTTATTTATTTGAACTTTTAAATCAAACAACAAAAAGTCGAATCGTTCTGCAAATTTATTTGACATAATATGAATCCAATAAGCCAAACATACATATATACATATGTATTTCCAGATTAATTTTAAAAACGAAAACCGGATATCTACAAAGAATTTAAACCTTCTAAAAAAAATTTATTGTTCTTAATTTAAATTAATTTGGAAAAAACAAACACACAGATACACTTATTCAATAAAATATTTACTTATATGTATATATATTGCAAGAAAATTACGTCAAAATAATAAAAAAGTTGAAATTTATAAAATTTATAATTAAATTTAATTCGAAACCATTATATTAATTTATGATATTTTACCATTAATAAATACTCTGAAATTCTTAAACTTTCAAAATAATATTTAGAAATATTTAACTCTATACGTTATTTACAAACATACTGAAATACTGTAATAAAAATTTTCTTAAATTATTTCAGCAAAAAATTTAAATTCAAGTTTAAAGTCGTAATTAATTTTGAATAATGACTTGATGCAAATAAACAAGCCAAAAGAAACAAAGGGAAAAAAATGCGGGGTATTTTGAATAACACGAAATAAAATTCCCTATTACAAAAGGATTATTTTAAGTTTGATTGATTAGAAACAATGAATGAAGCACAAGAGTAAAAATGAATAACTTGAGCATTTATTCTCTCTTCAAACACGCAAAAAAATATGCATGTCAATACATTCATAACATTCTACAATGTTATTAAGTGTGATTTCGAATTCGAGTCCGCTCAGCTTCTCTATTAAAATCAGATTATTTATCACAAAAATAAACTGTGAAGTCGTAATTGTATTTTCTACGCAGCGACTGGAATGTCTTAAAATCTTAAATAAAAAATTTGATGTTCTCTTATATCGTTGTTCATTAGTCAATGTGCCAGCTTATGTTTTATGATTCAATAAGTTTTAATAAAATGTGTTGTATGAACACATTAATAAAATGTATCGTAATGGGTTAAATTTCAAGTTCCCTTATTATTATGATGTTATGGAAACTGTTATCGCGAAGAGGTAAAATATAACTAACACCATAAAGAACGTAGAGCATGTTACCATCGTCTAATCTATTCATTTATAAATATATACTTTGTACTATATATGTTTACATTACTATGTTTACTCAATAATTTTCAAATATTGGCAACTGAATCCAAGAACTTAAACTAATTTTTCGATAATAAGGAATGTTATAAATTTTTACCTGTTCTCAATATTACTACTCTATTGTCTTATTTGAATAATTTTACGCTAAAAATTTTAATTGTCTAACTAATATTCTAAGGAGAATTATAATTATAAACTTAATTCTTACACACATTTATTTTGATAAGAATATAATATAATAGGAGATATGAGCACATGATTAAGTTTATTATATGTTTATGTACATATGTATGTGTATTCATATATGTACATATATATGTTTATATAACTATATAAACATATTCATATATGTTTATATAGTTATATCTAATATGTAAACAAGATTTATAGTAAAAAGATTGTCTTTGTCTACATCATTTGTCTATATAAAAAAAAACCAAGGTAAACTTTGCTATATTTTTTTTATATAATTTTTTGTATATCATTAAGATTTTCCGCGTATTTCTGATTGATTCGTCAGTCGATTTCTTTAAAAATGCTAAGATGTTGTTACTATTTAGAAATCTTTTATAAGATATATAGTTAAATTAATTATAATAAACTATTTTTCAGATAATTAATTCAATAATTAAAGTCTTATGTGCTTGTATATTTTTTTACCGAATATACAAAATATAGAGTGGCAATACATAAAATGTAAGATAATAGGTTTTTTACAGCATACTGAATTAAAAATATTCCACCAATGAATTTTTGCTATTTAGAAAATATAAATACGAGATATGTATAGCAATATTATATCATAAATTTGATCATCTCCAACTACAGCATCTCAGTGCCCAAATTCGCCAAATTATTATTGTTAGAAATTTTATACAAACAAGTTATTTGAATTTTTAATGCAAAATGCGAAAAGTAAGTTAGTAAAAACTAACTTATTTTCCCATTTTAGTTTAAAATCTTTATTATTGAATAAAATAATAAAATTGTTAATTTTTATTTTGAAATTATAACTAAAAATTATAGATTGCTAGACTTTTTCTGCCTTTGAATAACAAAAAGCTTAACAATTTCATAAAAAGAGAAACTTATGCTCAAATGTATGCCCCCCTTAAAATCATATGCTTGGTAAGTGGACAATTTTTATAGAATAAAAAATGTCGGTTACGTACTGATCACATCAGATTGATTTGTAAAAAATGTTGGTTTATAAAAAATTTATTAATTGATTTAAATTTTTTAATATTTTTTTATAATATTTGAAAACTATGTACATATATACATAATTCATTTTAAGATTTTATATATATTTTGAAGATTATAAAATTATAGGGAAATTAGTGAAAACTTTAATTATATTCAATTTTTGTAAATATTTAAAAGATTTAAATTTGTGAGCTTCCTAAAAAATTACATGTAATAACAAAGGACAAATTAATTAAAAAGAGGATTTAATTTGAACAATATAAAATGTTTTAATATTCTAAAATTACTCTAAACTTAAATTAAATTAAAATATGATAACAAAAGAATTTTGCTAACTATGCCACATTGTATAATCGCAAACATAGCGTGTTTATATTCAAAGTTAACATTTATTCTAAAATCTAGTTTTGCAGTGTATTGTTGAGTTTCCTTAGCATCAATAAATTAAATATACAAACGCAGTAAGGTATTAATAAATAAGACGACACTTTCATCAAAAAAATTCATAAATGTACCTTTTATGAAGCAGCATGACTTTAAAATTGCATTTACTTAAAATTTAAGAGTCCTAGAAAATATTTTAATTCGTTCCGATTTTTATTGAACACAAATTTTGTAGTTCGTTGCACTGTAACAAATATGAAATACAGACACACTGAAATCATTTAATCAAGAAGCCAAAAAATTAAAAAAGAAATTAATGAAACATCAACTTACAAATTACAAACTGATATCCATAAATTTAAACTTCATTTTATGATTTATTTAAACACATACTTATTTCTTTAAATAAATTTTGTGATGTTTATTGAATTAACATTTAATATACCTAAATTAATTAAGTGCGTTATTTTTTTTCTCGTAAATTAAAAATTTTTTCTTTGAATCTTTGACAATATGAAATTTCGAAATTTTATTGAAACAATTTCGTAGAACAATGAAAAGGTACTTATAAAGTATTAGATTCGACTTGTTGTTTAATATGCAAATAAGTTAATGAAATAATAAATATCACTCTTGTAAATAGAAAATAGGAAACAATTTTTAACAAGTGAAATAATTTTATTTAACCAAAAAATAATCATTGTATAGACAGACATATTCTTCATATGATTGCCGTTTGTGTAAACCAAAGCACTTATTTTATTAAGTTTTAATTATATAGCATGCATTTTAATGATTTAGTTATCTAAATATTTTTTATTGCTTTTATCACTTCAAATTATTCTAATGTTATTTTTGATTGTCTTAGAAAAAAAATAAAAATGGAGCGTCTTATAAATAATTTTGAGAAGAATGCGGATCGTTTTAGGACAAGGTTACTAAAGTGTATATGGTCTACACTTAATAGTAGAATTAAAAGGTTATTTACATCTTAAACTGTTTCATTAGTATCATTGAATTTTAGTTATATAATTTTATACTAAGAAAATAATATTAAGTTTATTATCTTAAATTTATTAACACAATACAATTCTCAAATTTACAAATTTAAATTAAACAATTTCAATTCTTTTTAATTCCAAAAATCGAAATTTTCCAAATTAAAACAATATTTCGTTAGGTTTTATTTACTTAATTATTTAATTCAGAATTCAGTTAGGTTTCATTAATTATTTATTTCAGAAATTTTTTTAAAATACAAAAAATTTCAGTTAGAAACTATTTCCTACATAAAAATTTCAAAATAATATTTTAAAATTTTTAAGCATAATTATATTTGAAAGTAATTTAAGTACATACTATCAATATCGTTTTCTTTCAAACAATTTTAAAACAAAATTTATTTCATACACTCACTTATTTTTTTTTAAGTAATCCTTTAGGCATAAAAAATAGCTTAAATAATTTTTTCCGAAAACCGAACCAACCAATCGCTTTAACGGTTACTATAACGAGTGAAAACAATGCTTACCTTATCCATGATTTTATATTTAAATGTAAAAAAATTATACTCTGACACCTAGTGCAGAAAAAGCTCTCTTGTAAAAATTATCTTCTCTTCTTATATTCCATTAAAAAATTTTTCTCTTCTACTTTTTTCTACCTTAATGTTGTTATATTATGCACAACTGTATGACTATGAAATATTTTTTTTAGTTATTTGATGATGAAGTAAGAAAATACTACTCGTATACTAAAATTTGACAACAAAAAATTTAAAGATGAATTCCAGAACTACAATAAAATGATAAAACACAAAATGAATAATAAAAACAAGAGCAATGTTATGGGCACATACAATGTGCATAGAGAAACACTGAAAAATGGCATAAAACATAATTATTTATCGAGAATATTGTGAACTTAACGAAATTATCAAAAATTTAGGTTTTTATGTATTATTGAGAAATAACTATTAGATTTAAAAAAAAATCTGATGTGGTCAACACATAACCGACCGCATTGTATATTGTCCACTGCATTGTATAGTTCTTCAGTATTTCTGAAGAATTAGGTTCTTAGTAGAGTTTCATTTTGTGCCGTCCGAATTATACGGAAAGCTCCTCAGTAGCTTCTGGTAACAACCAGAACTCAAATATTAAATTTTAAAAAATTCCATCAATTAGTTCCGTAGATATGATAAAAAATGTAAAATCGGCCTCCAGATAAGTTTCCGAGCTTTGATCTTTCCAAAAAATTTATATATTCATTGTTTTAACAGCTCGAATTCAAATATTAAATTTCAATGAAATCCTCGCAAAAATGTATATTTGGCCCGTAGTAAACGTGCAGTTGCTGACATTTGATTTCTTCCAAAAGTAAGGAGAATTCGCGTGTGGTCGAATGAAGCTTATATATTAAATTTTAAGTAAATCTGTTGAACGTTTTCTTCTTATTGATCAAAAATGTAGACACGCGTCCACACACAGACCGACGGACCGAAAGGTTGCTAAAATTAGTTTATTTACACTTCCCTACTAGAGAGAAGTGCGTTCGCAAGGAAAACTCGACATCCAAAATTCGGCGCCATCACATAACCTACCTTATTGTATACACAATAAGATAAAAGACAATTGAAAGAAGCGTTAATATTGTGATCGAATTTGATGTTTAAATACATGAGCTAAGATGATTAATTATAGACATAATTATAGACATAACATTTTATAGAAATTTGGTGCCGAAAATTTAAGTTTTACGAATTCCGAGAGAAAAATTTTAGACTCCTACAACTTACTGTCTAGAAGAAACACAATATCAAAAATTAAAAAAAAAAAAAACGGTTTCCAGATAACACTAAATTATCAGTGGCCATTTTGTCAGTATTATATTTGACTAGTAGAAACTAACTGCTACTTTCCTGCTTTGGCAGACTTTAAAAAAATATTTGTGGTGTTGTTACAATAGTTTAAAATGGCAATTTTAGAAATTTGCGGGGTTTAATTTTCATAAGGCGGGTGTGAGATAGGTAAATATGTTCTTTTTTCGAATTGCCCATCTTTTTATGTTTAGTAAATTCCAACTCAAAATACTGAATGGTAACGAAATATTAAGCTACAACAAATACATATACATATATTCTAGAATAATATTCCTATTCATATACCATTCCAGAATATGTATGCAGACTCAAATATGCTTTAATATTATTGATTGCTTTAAAAAAAAATCAACAGCAAAAAGAGCTGAGGTTTTCGCGGGCAAAGTTGAGCTTTTTAAAATATTTATTGTAAAATCACAAATTTTTATATACTTTGAAAATAGTGGTCAGTATAAAAGTGTATTTCAAATAGCTATGACATGAAAACGATATTACAAATAATTATTGCATCCATGATCTTGATTAATAAAGCTTTCATTGCTCAAATCAGTGATATGGATGTCTGCACTTAACACTACTGGTTTGTAGCTTTTATAACGGTTTTTTATTTGTTAATAACGTAATTAAGTTTATATTTTTTTTATAAATGTATAGATCAAACGAGTTTGTATTTATTTTATTTAAATTTAGTCTATTCCTATATGCTTAATTTCACTACAAACATAATACTTATATTATAATATGTATAAATCATTAAATTTCAAAGTAACAAATTAAATATCGAATAGTTTTGTCATACAAATACGAGGGTCACTATTTATATTTCGGGTCTAGCAATAAAAAACAAACATTTATCATTGTAAATGGTTTTATTGTTTTTCAAAATATTCCCCATGAAGATCAATACACTTTTGCATGCGCTGAAACCAATTTTCGTAGCACTTTTTCCACTCCGATTGAGACACCTCCAAAACATGGTTTTTGAACGCATCGACTGCTTCTTCAGGTGTTGAAAATCGTTGTCCACGCATTTTTTTTTTGATGTGAGGGAATAAGAAGAAGTCATTGGGTGCTAAATCAGGACTGTACGGCGGATGAGCCATCAATTCGACATTTTGAGTGCTCAAATAGTCCATTGTTTCAGCTGATTTGTGAGAGCTTGCATTGTCATGATGAAGAATGATTCGCCGGCGCTTGTTTGTTTTCCTTATTTCTTCGAAAACTTTCGGCAAACAGATGGTGGTGTACCATTCAGAATTGACCGTCCTACGTTCCACTAAAGGTACTGTGGCCACATGACCGGTTATACCAAAAAAAAACGCGATCATTTGCTTCGATGTGCTTCTTCCACGAACAACTTTTGTTGGATTTGGCTCGTCTTGGAACACCCATGCGGTCGATTGCTGTTTCGTTTCGGGCTCATATGCATAGATCCATGATTCATCACCTGTGACTATCTTATAAACGTCTTTTGACGCACCGCGATTGAATTTTTTCAACATTTCTTTGCTCCAATCGACACGAGCCTTCTTTTGTGCAATCGTCAAATTTTTTGGGATCCATCGACAACACACCTTTTTCACGGCAAGATGTTCATGCAATATCTTATGTACGCTGGTGGAACTAATGCCCAAGGATGCCTCAATCTCACAGTATGTCACATGCCGGTCCATCATTATCATTTCGCGCACAGCATCGATGGTTTCAGGCAAAACGACCGAAATTCATCCTGGAGCGAACGGCGTCCGAAACCAAACTCTTGGTACCAGCGATTTACAGTGGTTTTTGATGGTGCTTCATCACCAAAAGTCGAAACAAGTTGATCGAGACACTCTTGTCTCGATAATCCGCGCCGAAAATCGTAAAAAATCATCGCACGAAAATTTTCACGGGACAATTCCATTTTTTGACCGAGATGAATTTTTCAAGTCACTGTAAACAAAACAATTCGCGCTCGAATGACAAAACGTTCTGAGTGAAGTTGTCCTAAAAAATGTCAAACTTTCCAATGGAAGTGTCAGATTGTACCTTGCAGCACTAGTATTGCCAGGACCCAAAATATAAATAGTGACCCTCGTACAAACTTAATGGTATTAATATATACGGTTTACTCTTGTTGAAAGCTTGAAACTAAAACAATACAATTATAAAAGATCTGTGTATAACCACATAGAAACATTTTTTTAAATACATGTAAAATGCATACTAAATTGTTGTATGTTTTCCTAAAATTATAGATTATATGGTTATATTATAATATTTTTTTTTTATGTTTGTCGCGGTTAGAATTCGTATACAACATAATTGATGTATAATGCGGAAAGCCTATCATTTTAGTTCTTGAGAATAAAAAGGTGCTTGTCCAAGCACAAAAATTGAGTAATATCTCTCGGCTTTAAAGTCGCAGAATACGGTATTAATACTCAATTTAACTTATTGGTAAGTTGTGGAAGCTGAATTTTGCATAGAAATGCAGTTCTACTGAAATTTTAAAGTCACGGATTATTTCTCGTTGCCAGGGAGATCCTGTAATAAGGACAACTTTAAATACTGTTGTTTAGAAAATATTACATGGAACAGCAAATGAAAAAATGTTTAAAAAAATATTTTATATTAAATAAAAATGGTTTTTTTTTATAAAAATATATACATGTATACAAGCTTAGTTAATTATGTAGTACTATATTTTGTTAAACAATTCAAATATTAAATTACTTTCTTAAATCACTAATGATTATCGTAAACTTTAGAATGCGTCAGCTAAAATGTCTTACAAAAGTAATAACACAGTTAAATATTCTATCATAATTTAATACTTCAATCAAAAATTTTCTTTTTAATAAATGATAGATATCCACTTTCTTGAAATTTATTTCTTAATTTTTCATTTTCTGAAAACATCTTTTGATACTGTTGAAATGAATCTGGATGTTTAGGACCCCATATCGTTTTCGGTCTAAATGATTTAATAATTCTTTCTTTCCATGTTGTTTCAGTTTGCTTAATAATAGCAATTATCGCCCATAAAGGAACTTGAACAATAGCAAAACAAGTTATTAACCAACCGATACTATATGCCCAATCTGGGTAAAATTGATCAGAATATGTCAATGGCTTAAATGTTACAAAAAAATATACTAAAATAGCTGTCATTATTATTGGTGTTATAAAACCCCAACTTATACGCCAAAAAAGTCCTGTTGACCTGTTCATCATAAATTTTATGTCTCTGCATATATTATTAACTCCATATATCCAACTTAAAACAAAAAGTTCCATAATTCCTAAAATTAAGCAATTCATAGATGCACCATGATTATCAATAATGTTCAACATCCAAAGACCACCCTGAAAATGTTATTTAAATTTCGTGTCATAAGTAAAATAATTAGAATAATATTTAAAAATTACCGGGGTCATATAAATCAATCCAATAGAAAAACTTATTACAGCAATAATTAATGCAATTTGCCATTGTTTTATTTTAAAGTTATCAGTTATAGCTGTCATAGAACAAGACATCATTCCAATATTGCTTCCAACGCCCAAAATAAATAGTAAAGAAAAAAATAGCACAGAAAATATTTGTGGGGCCACATCAAATCTGGCAATTGCATTCGGATATGAAATAAAAGCTAAACCAGCCCCACCCTGCACAACTGATTTTATATCATCAGTTCCAACTTCATAAGCCAAATGTCCCAAAATTCCAAAAGTTGTAAAACCTGCCAATAAGGACGTAAACGTATCTATAACTGTAACTATAGCGGCGTCTCTGAAAATTAAAATTTTAATAGCCGTGTAATTCCCTTGTCTTTTTTTTTTCTTATCTACCTATAAATATTGTGATCAAATTTATTATAGGATGAATAATTCACAACACAGCCCAAGCATACAGTCAATGAAAAAAATACTTGAGTAACAGCTGAATACCAAACCTGAAAGTAAAAATAATTGATTTAAATTTGCTCTTATAATTTTAAGGGATAGAATTAAAAAAGTACCTTTGGATTTAAAAGTTCCTTCCACTGTGGCTGTATAAAATAAAGCATACCAGTTCCAGCTCCTGGTAAAGTTGCTGCTCTAATTAATAATATGAATAATATTATATAAGGAGAAATCGCAAGAAAATAGGAAAACTTTCCAGAGCTCTTGATTCCACGTACTAAAATAATATAAATTACAACCCATGCAATAAACATTGCTAGTGAGGTTTGCCAGAATGGTGCACCAATTCCACCATCAATATTATCAGTTTCATGAATTATTTCTCTTCTAAAATTGTAACGTTACAAAAACGAATAGGAGAAATATGTAATAAATATTTTTGCATATATTTAGGATGAACATATTATTGAAATCGGAAATCACAATAATAAATGAATAATTAAAAAAAAATTTATTCAATTGTTAGCATTGATGGTTTTTATTAATTTTAAATGTGCATTTGTTATAGGGATTGTATAATGTACGTACTTACAAAAAATATAGTTCAGCTGATGAATACGCTTTGTCAGTTTGACTAGAATTTGTACCATTTAAAAAAGTTCCATCAGCAGCAACGCAATTAACTCCCCAGTTTTCATTGCAAACACTCCATGGCAGAACATTACTAAACGAATCCACAATATATTTTAAACAGAATCCCATCAAAGCAACATAATATGTTGATATCATTGACACAGAAAACACTTGTCCAATACCAATTCCTAAAAAATATACAAATTTATAAAAATTTTTATTGTACAAACACAATACCTCTCATAACTGGACAAAAATTATACACTTTAGCTGGACCACAACTTGAAAATTGCCCAATAACCATTTCTAGATAGTAAAATGGTTTTCCAACTAATATAAGAACAATTAAATATGGGATTAAGAATGCACCGCCGCCATTTTCTAATGCTGTAAATGGAAACCTCCAAATGTTACCTAATCCAACGGACATAGCAATACACGATAACAAAAATTCTATTCCCTTACCCCATGTGGCACGTTCCTTCACTTTTTTTGCTGAAATCTAATAAAAAACAACTATTTGTACTAAATTCAATTAGTGGAAAATAAATCATTTTAAATTTAAAATATCAAACTGTCTTACATTGGTTTCTGGTGGTATAATGCGGACTTCTGTTTCCAAATTGTCTGGTTTGCCGTTGTCATTTTCAAATGTTGGATTTGTATGGAATTTAGACATGTTATGATTTTCTTGTTTTAAAATTTCTTGTAAAAGTCCTTGTCGTAAAAAAATTAAATGCGTATTAACATAATTTACAACAAAATTAAAACGTGAAATGAATTCAGTTTAATAATAAACTCCGATTCACACTAAAAATTTTAGTTTGTTGTGCTAAAATTAAAAAAAAATGGAAAAAGTTCTTATTATCAAGTTTTTTTTATGTTGTGTTATACTAAGTTAACGATTAATATTTTAATTACTATTTAAATAATATAAAACTTGTTTATTATAAAATTTTCAAGTTTTAATGATATCTAAAATTACTCTTTCCATATCGAATGCAATGAAAATAGGCAACGATACTCTTTAACGCTTAAAATTTAAAATTTAAAAAAAAAATAAAGAATTAATCATTTAATTACAATTAAATTCCCAAAAACCATGGAGATTTTTATTATGTCATATTTTATCTGTGTAAAGTGCTTAATTTTATTCAGTCAATAAAAGCTGTTAATTAGTTTATGCGCAACGGCATAAAATAATATTACGTTTATGTAAATATTTTATGATTAATAAATTATGAAAATTACTATTGAACCCACAAAATCCTTTAATAAGATTGTTACTTCTTTTTACTTAACTCAACGTTTACATTTGGTACTATATGAGTCTTAAACTCTATGTAAGTATTATATGTTTACATGTTTCTAGGTAAACAAAACTGGAGAATAAAAATATCAAAACAAAAATAGTTCTTGCAATAAAGTAGAAAGTATAAAATATAATTCCTTGGAATACAAATTTTTTTATTACTCATATTTAATTTAAATAAGAACGTCAATAAATTTGTAAATGTGCAGTAATATTTTGTTTATCTATGAAAATTAGTTTACTTAAGCAACCTGAGCTCATAAATTTATTACATTTACCTCATAATTATTACGTTAAACCTAATAACTTTGAAAATACAGGTTAGCAAATAAATCGTTCGTTGCCCTCGACATTGATATTTAATGAAGGGATTAATTTAAAGTCTCTGCAAACGATTCTAAAAATACACTTAAACAAACTACCCTAATTTCTTAAACAACCTACAGATTTCTTGTTTTCAATGTTTCAATTTTATCACACAATGCCAAAGCCAGTATCTGCACGATAAAAAGAAGAATTAAATAATAGCGAAAAAAACTAAAAGAAAAATGTTAATGTGAACTACTACACCACCTGAATTTGAGTTAGCGGAAAAATGCAAATTTTCCAATGCAATTCAAATAGTTTACACCGAATGAAATCATTTAATAAACCGTAGATAAAACAGTAAGAAATTAATATATTGAAAGCGGAATTCATGGATTATACAGTTTCCTTGCTTTTTTCTGTGTTCTGCAATCTTTAAGTATACTAATACGTTCCCTCGGTAGTGAGTTCATTATTATGTAAGTTTATTTATTGCAAAAAAAATATTTTATATGAATTACTTGAAGATTATAACTAGCTTAAAACTTTTAATTTTATGTAAATTTTGAATAAGTGACCCAACCTAATAAGGTTTATACAACGATCTCTTTAAATTCCAGCTATTTTTATATCAATTGCGTAATACAAAAGTTTTAAAATCTGTAGTTTATCAAAATATCTTACGGTAAGGAAAAATAGGTGTGACAATTTTTATTAAATATTTATGATATTCAAATTTTAAGAAACTAGATTAAACCACAAGTACAGAATTTGACATATAGAACACACGTTTTAATCAACGTGGAGCTAAACAATAGTATGTTACATTAGGTTGCTACATTAAATACATATGTTGAGTAAATTGTATAAAAAACTTAAAAATTTTTCCATTTAAATGGCGAAACAAGTGTTTTACATCTAATTTATTTCAAAATATTTAAATTCAATAATTTAATAATCACCTTTTGTTATTTTTAACAGCTTTTGTAATTCTGAAAGAATTTTTAAATATTAAAAATAAATGGATGACAAAAAATTTATAATTAAGTTGCAGTCATTTGAAAATATTCCGTGAACGTAAAAGTGAATATGCGATTTATTCGTTGCGTCATTACCCATGTCTTAGAAACAAACACAAAATTTGACTTACATTTCAATTAATTGTCACGTGTACCATAATTTTTGGCAACAACTTTATTTTCTTTTTTAAAATTTTGTACAAATTTTATAAAATGAAATAGCCAAAAATTTAAATTAACAAAAAAATTTTTACATATTTGAAAATATTTGCGAGGTATGTAACTTTGGGCTGATAAATATGTGCAAAATCTTATACATAAATGAACTCCTCAAAAAGATAAAACTTAAAAAAATTTTAAATGAAATTTGTGACTCTTCTTCTTGAATTACAGCCTTTGGTTTTTAATCATATATCGCACATTTTCTAATACAATGATATGTGTCAAAATGCCGAGTCGCAAACTTTTATTTCTTTTATAATTTATATATAAAGCTTTTCTGTAACAAAATAATACAGAAAATTTGTTCATATATTTGTAGAATAGTTCTGTACCAACGTTTTTTAGCCTTCGGTAATAATTTACCCTCGACTATAAATAGTTTAAGTTTCGGAAGTCGAAGTTATATTCTTGAGTTGGCTTTTTGTTATTCATAACTGATTGTTATCTTCCCAATGTGTGATATGTTCTTACATACCAAATACGGAAATAACTAATTTAAAAGGCACAAACAGTATACAAACTATTTAAAATAATTTAAGACTCAAGCCTCTTTCGGGGCACAATTCAATAAAATTTTACCACTTCATTCAGTTTTAAAAAAAAAAAAAAACTTACATGAAATCTGATTCATAGTTTTTTTTGTTTTTAATTATCTTTACATTAGATGTTAATGCTTATAACCGATATAAAAGCAATAGTGTTTCAAGATATTTATGCATGCTTGCACAAAAAATAGCAATTTCAGCACGTAAATTTAATATTCAATTATTTTTAGAAGAAAAAAAAAAATAAATAAATAATTTTCAATATTTAAAATTTTTACACTATTATAGATTTAAATATTTAATTTAGTCCGGCATTATATTGTTGAATAAAATGAAAACAGTATAATGTTAACTTTCAGCTTAAATTATGACTAAAAGTATTAAATATGCACGCGTATACGCATTATATCCATATATATGTATACATATATAGCTAAATACACCTGTATTAATAAATTATAAATTATATTAAAACCTAACGTTGCCCACTTTAAAACCTCCCAAAAAAACAAAAATATAAACTTATACGAAAATGACATTGCAGATATTACTTTTTTTATATACTTTTCTGCACTTAGGTAAAGGCTAATATAGTGAATTTATTAAATTTAGCGACTACTTATCCCAGCTAAGCTAAATCTATATTTTAGGAATCGTTTTTTATCTCGAATGAATGTTTGATGAAGCGACATCAAGGAACATGCCTGTATTTCATTCCAACATAAAAAATGAACAGACACTTCTATTAATTGAGTATCATTTCCGCAATAAATAAGAAAAAATAAGAATTATTTTAAATATTCGTTTATTTTTGGACACCTTATGAATTAACAATATGACGAGCTTATATTGGCTGATTAAATATTTTATAAATATTTTTGAAAAATTATTTTATTTTACATGTGTATGTATTTTCAGTCTTATTTTAAAATTGTGTAGATTTTTAAACACGGCATATCATATTGAACTTATTGTGCACTTCTAACTCTTAATTTCAATAATTTATTGATTTTATATGCTAATGAAAATATTTTACTTCATATTTTAAGATAACTTGCTAAATTACATTTACTATAAAAATAAATTTGAAAAACACAAAATTTAGTATTAATTGATTTATAAATAAATATTTATGCATATTTTGTAAATACAACATAATATTAGTACAATTAAAATAAGCATAATGTATGTATATATAATATAATGCTGTATGCAACAGCAATTACAATGGCCGTACATACACTGATTACATTGTATTGCATTAATAATAATCACATATTATTATAAATAAAGGCTTTAGCATATGCATGCTTATTTGACTTAACGCTTGTTTGCTATGTTTTCATTGTGTAATAACGATTTTTAAACAAAACTTCAATGGAGCTTTATAACTGTACTTTCAAAATTTTAAGAATTTTTGATACTAAAATCAAATATTCCAAATTATTTATTTATTCAAAACCATGTGAAATTAAAGAAGTTTGTACAAAATTTTTTAAAAATTTTAGTTTAAAAATAAATAAACATATTTCGGTATTAAGGATAATATGATTTTACGAGTATATACGACTATTTCATTCTTATACAAACTTAATATATGTACAAATTAAAACGTCTCCTAAAAATTTAAAATGTATGTATATAAATGCATTATGTACATATGTACACGTACATTTACTACATTACGGAAAAATAAAAATTTTTAACTATATCGCACAATTGTAGTTTTTATTTAAGTGTAAAAATTATTGTTTACATAAGTTTTTGATAATAATTATTTATGCGGTGCAAGTTTATTATAAGCAGAAAAGATATTATTTAATAATAGTAATAAAGAAAAAGAAATTTGAAAACAAGGTAATTTCTAAAGCTATAAACATTTAATATTTATAATTTGCCACATAAAAGTAGTGGCTTTGCAAAACAAAATCCATTTGTGTATGAAATGATTATAAATTTCTAAAAACTAAATTTCTCTAAGCTTAATAAAAGGGGATTTTCATAAACAATGTTGAATATAGTTATGCAGGTACTATAGTACTACTATAATTAGCAATTAAATTTTATAAAAATGAATGAATGACTTTATAATTTATGTATTTTATTAAGAAACAATGTAGATTGTTACTTATCTTTTCTTTTTATTTTTTTCTAAAGAACAAAAGATGACACTACATAACTCATTTTAATATTAAATTAAAAATTCAAATTTTACAGTTATGTGTGTGTGTTCTTTAGTAGCTCAGCTAAATGTAATGATTTTATTAAAAAACTATTCGCAAATGTAAAAAACTATTTCACTTTGTATATTTGTAAACTCAAGGTAACATTTGCTTTAGAAAATATAATAACGCCCTTTGCTCCCGATAGCGAAGTCGAAATAGTTTAACTTTAAAATAAAACTCTCTTCTTGAATATAACTTTGTATGTAAAGCAGCAAACATCCTAAGAGTCAAGTTAAAAATAGCGTTTTGTACAAAATTGCATCGAAAACTTCAAAAAGTCGTTATTTCATGATTTTGTAAAAATTTAATAATTCAAATTTTTTCAAAGATTTCAAATAATAAACAAAACTTTGAATAAGTATATTTGAAATCTGAATTCAACTAAAATAACAATTTAAAAATATTGTCCACATTTCTATACGGTCGTTGGAACATTTTTATCAAATCTTATAGATATATAATAATAATAAAGTTAATACTAAACATTATATACCGTAGTACATTACCTAATTAAAAAAAATATTCATAACTTCATGCTTCAAAAATAGTTTGCAATGCTTTAGTATAATTTCTAAAAGTCTGATAACGTTTACAAAGAATAATTTACATGACAATTAAGTTATTTTTAAATAATAGCGCTGGTTCTTTAGGAAGAAAAAAATCAAATTACAAGAGCACAAATAAGAACTTCATAAATACTATTTTTTCAAACAAAAGCTTATTTTACACAATTCATATGAAATTTAAAAATTGAAATTAATGCACATCAAAATATAGCGTATAAAAATTTCCACTTTATATAACAAAACCAAATTCTAAATTTGAAAACTACTATTAGAAAAATTTTATCAAATTTGAAATAATATCCTTTTTTTACACAAGTATTTTATTTTTAATTATGCAGATATGTACTGGTTATTTTTAAATTTGTTATAGAACTTATTTAAATGAAAACTTGAAATCTTATGAATAATTTCTATTTTCAACTATTTAAATTCTTTCAAATTTCAATTATATTACTTAAAATTTTTTACTATAAAAATTCTTATTCAAAGCAATTGAATTTTTATCGTATTTCGTTTGCTTTTTTCCGCCTTAATAAAATTTTCTTTTAATTGATTCTGAGAACGTCTTTATTCCAAGAGAACAAATCGACAAATAAGATCACTTTTTTCACCTGTTTAATATTTTTATCAAAAAAAAAAAAAACAATAACAATGGCGAAAATAAAAAAATATCAAAACAAAATCAAATAAAAAAAATTTTTCTGAAATGTGAAAAATTTTTTGTGATAACGTCATTAAATTGAGTTGGTTGTGTAATGAACATTTTAAAAATATGTACATTATTACAAACACAAACATATACATTACACTATACAGTACAAGTACATAAGTGCTATAAATATATATGTAAGTATGCATGTAGAAAAGCAGTAGATTCAAGAGAAAAATACAATCGTTTTACAAATTGCTTAAATGTAAAGTAGTTCTCAATGTATACGTACGAGATTACTCGTACATGATTTCTGCACATATGCTACATATGTGCTGACAATTACAATATGCAAATTTTGTTTTCAAAATTAATATTCATAAACAATATTGTTAATCAATTCTATTCTTAAATAATTTTAGTTCATCAACAAAATATGACTGGTGCAGTTAAACAGTACAGTTTGTTTTTTTTTTTTAACAAACAGTTTTCACGCATACTTTACGTTATTACACATACTTTCTGGTATTGTTGTAATTCTCTTGAAAGGGAGCTCAACACTTTTTGAAATATAATTATTTTATTTTAAACTAATTTTGAACATTTAAAATTGAGGCTTTAGGATGACATACCTTTTGAGTTTTCATTTCTTACCTTACTCATCATTTTATTTCAACCATTTCATATAATATATATAAATATATATAATTTTTGAAATTATAATTTTAAATACCTCTTGTTATAAAATTTCCTTATTCTTCAAAATTATATAGCTTTCAATTTGAATTAAATTGTAATAGAAAGCCATTTAGAAGTACTTTTTAAAATACCATAAATTACTATTTATACGTACATGTATTACTTAGCATGATAATTTAGTAACAATTTTTTGGTTTTAAATAGCCTTTTAACTTCTCGTCGAAATTATCTTAAAAAGATGACCAGAGATTTTCGAGAACTAATTCAAAACTTAAGAATGATTTTTTTGATTAAATACCTATACGATCTACGACTCATATGTAATCAAAGTTACATACTTGTATACAAAAAAAAGGCAGTTATGATTGAATAATGAAAGGCTAACTGAAAAGAGTATATTGCAATATTATTTATGAAAGCCATCACTTTATTGATTACAGGCCGTTGTGCTACAGAATATTGTTCTAAAACCACAAGACAATTATTATATCTTGCTACATATACTTCTTCAATTTCTTGAGAAATTTTAGGTTTAGAAAATCAAAAAGAATTTTTGGAAAATAGAAAACTATGAAAACTCATTTATTTTTTCCATAAAAATATAGCACTAAATATTCAGAAAATTTCAGATATAAAAATTTCTGAAATTGCAAAAATAGCCTAATCGACTACTATATTATTACCATATGTGTTTATAATAAAGCGATCAAAATTAAAATAATAGAAATATTAAGACAGACTGTGTATGCAATACGTATACATCTACACGGTATACATATATCATTTTTAGGATGTTGAAAATTTTTTAGAATATTTTAAACCGTAAATTTGTGTATATGACAATAAAGAGTTATGTAAAACACTAAAAAGACAAAGTGTGACATCTACCATAAAACATCATTTACAATTTTTAATTTTATTCTACTATAAAAAATCTTTTATAATTTTTTGTAACACGGAAAATCCCAAATAATAAAAGTATCTCTAAAAAAACCTGTCCAAGCTTTGGTTTTGAATTTTGTTAAAACCAAAATTGAGTCATTCTTTTCCTAAAATAACTTATTTTATCTCAGCATAATTCTTAAAAAAATTGGTTTTTCCATTGAAAATATAAAGTTTATTGTAGAATTATACGAGTATAGACTAATTTAAGTGGTGTTGAATTCGTAATTGAACTGTTTATATGTGATTTTGAATAAATCAGTTATAATTCAGTCTAATTTGATACTTGATACTTAAAATGCATCACTAGTATGTGAACAATTTTAATAGTTTCATATTTATGAAAATCAAGTTATAAACTGACTGGAAAAATTGCCCCTTGACTTTGGCTGTGGTTGTTCTATTTTCGGTGATTCACTAATTCTAAATCTTTAATTATTATTTAAATTTTAAGATTATAATATTCACATTTCGAAAGAATCAAAATACTATTAGAAGGCAATTAGAATTAAAAACACATCATTACCATATTTATTTGCATTAACTTTTAAAATAAACAGAAAAAGCGACGAAATATTTGCTGAATTAGCAATTCATTCTTTATGATAAAAAACAAAAATCATGATTAATATGGTTTCATATATACTTAAATGACTAAATTTTACTTAAATTAATACTTAATTAATTAAACACACTTGATAATCTAACAGCCTCAACTCCCGAACATCCAATAGAATTATTATTATCATTATCGTAAATTTTGTTTATTTACTTTAACTCGTGTCTACTAATAAATAGATCATTGTAAGTTGCAAAAAAATCACTATTCATTTTGAAATTATGAACAAACAAAATTTACACGATATCTTACAACGAAAAGAATATGAATGTTAACGATTCATAATATTGTATATAAATTTTGATTTGAACTATTATCTATTTCAAGCTATTTCAGAAAATTTCATTAAAACAAATACCTAAACTGGTAAGTAGTTGAGATAAAAAATTATAGTTTTTTTTTTTCAAGTTTGAATTAATTTTATTTTCTAATACATAATATTTTAATCATATAAAAAATTTAATTAAAAATCTATTTCATTATGTGTACTAAAAAAATCGCGATATACATATGTACTAAAATAAAAATTCAATTAAGTATAGCCTTATCCTAACATTTTTTTCATCTTAAATACATTACACTGTCCAAATCTATAGTTTTACATTGTCACAAGTAGTTTTCAATAAATTAAAATTTTTCAGTTTATTGTTTCTTTTTTTTTTTCTTCTCCGTAGATATTGTCTTACATTAATATGTTCTGTTATATTCTATACACTTAAATTTACAACATAATATCACAAATTCAAAGTATACATTTTTATTCCTGGTTTATATATATAAAAAAATAAAAAATTTTCTCGTAGTTTATCGTAAATTAAGTTAAAGTATAAAAACAATATTAATACTAAAAGACACATAACATGATTTACAAATACTTTTAATGAAAATGGTTTTAAAAAATAGATCCTAAACTAGCTAAAAATTTTTCGTTTCAGAAAACTAATAAATCCATCATTTTCAAACATTCGTGTTTGATTCCGCAAATTTTGAATTTTATCATATTCTTCTTTTGTTGCAAAATTTCTTGGTCCCCAGGATTTTGATGGTTTAAAAGACTCACTTATTTTTTCGCTCCAAGTATCTCCTTTTTGTTTATAAATAGCAACAATTGCCCAGATAGGTACTTGTATAATCCCAATTAAAAACGAAATCCATCCAATTGCTTAATAGAAAATTGTAGAATTCAATTATTAAAAAATTTCAGCTTCAAATCAACAACTTGACAAAAAATTCTTCACTTACCCATTGCCCAAGGTGGTAACACTACTCCTTTATATGTTACTTGTTCAAAAGAAGCAAAAAAGTAAAGTGTGATGGCAATTGTTATAAATGGAGTTATAAAAGCCCAACACAATTTCCAATATATTCCCGGGGTTTTATTTATCATGAATTTAGTATCTCGACATATTCTACTTACACCATAAATCCAACCCAAGCACAATAGCTCGCATATTCCTAGAATCAATGCTAACATTGACACACCAAAAAAGTCAATTAAAGTTAACATTGATTGGCCACCCTAAAAGAATTTTTTTTAAGTTTAAATTTATAATTATTTGCATTGTAAATTTTTATGTGATGTCTATTAACTTACAGGTGTTACATATGCTAAACCGACCAAAAAACTAAGAGAACATATCACTGCTGCACATAACCAATTTGGTATATTTTCAAATCTATCACGAATTGTTGTCATAATACAAGATATCATTCCAGTATTGCTACCAACGCCGAGAACGAAAAGTAAGGCAAAAAATAATACAGAAAATACTTGCGGTAATATATCAAAACGTGCTATAGCATCTGGATATGAAATGAATGCTAAACCAGCACTGCTTTTAACAACAGATGCAACATCGTCAGCACCGATTTCGTGAGCTAAATGACCAAGAATTCCAAATATTGTTGATCCAGCTAAAAGAGATGTGAAAGTGTCCAATAGTGTAACAATTGTGGAGTCTCTAAGAAAATACAAGTTGGGATTCGTTTCATTATATTATTAATATAATTTAATAATAATATCATAAATATGATTATAAAGTTTAAATTAAACTTTCCTTTACCTATAAATGTTATGATCGAATTTATTAAATGATGCGTAATTTGTTATACATCCAAAACAAACTCCTAGCGAAAAGAAACATTGGGTGACAGCATTGTACCATACCTGAAACAAAAAATTTCAGGTAGAACAAAAATATTTTATTAAAGATGTTGAAAATGCTTAAGGGTTTAAAAAAAGTTTTTAAAATCTTTGATTTTATTTTGTAATTTTTATGAAATTCTAAATTGCATATCTTCAGGCAAAGCAATATTATGATTTCAACTCTACTTTACTAATTTCAACCTTCCTTCTTCTACCTTCCTTTAAATTAATTCAGATTTTTAAAGGTTTTTCCAAAATTTGAAATTAATATTGTTTTCAAAACCGAAAATATTAAAAGTCAGTAATTACCTTTGGATTTAGCAATTCATTCCACTGTGGTTTTATAAAATACAATATTCCATTCATAGCACCAGGTAACATAACCGCTCTTATTAATAATGCAATTAAAACAACATAGGGAAATATTGCTAAGAAATATGACGCTTTTCCAGAACTTTTTATTCCTCTAACAATAATGATATAATTAATTATCCATGCACCTAACAAACACAACACCAATTGCCATATTGGTGCTCCAATGCCATCTTTAATATTATCAATTTCAATTAATACGTCTTTGCTATGAAATGAAAAAGTTAGAAAAGCATTTCGTTTCTATATTATAATATAATATATATATAATAATTGAGATCATTAACTTACTAAAAGTATAATTCAGCAGATGAATCAGTGCTTATATTAACAAATATTGTCATATTGTTCTCAGTTGTTGAATTTGTTATTTCAACATTTGAAGGTATACAATTGTCACCCCATTTCGGATTACAAATACTCCATGGTAAAACCGTATTGAATGATGCAACAAAATATCGAACACATAAGCCCATAATTGAAACATAATATGTTGTTTGAAAAAATGTTGCAATGACTTGGCCGATACCAACACCTTTAATTATAAATAAAAATAAGAAAGTTGAAAATAGCTGTAAATATATACTTTAATTCATATTATACCCCGCAATGCTGGACAAAAATCATAAACTTTAGCAGCACCTTTACTAGAGAATTGTCCAATTATCATTTCCAAATAATAAATAGGTTTTCCAACTAATGCTAAAACAATTAAATATGGTATAAGGAATGCTCCACCACCATTCTCTAATGCTGTAAATGGAAAACGCCAAACATTTCCTAAACCTACGGACATTGCAATGCATGATAATAAAAACTCGATATCATTATTCCATGATTCTCGATCAGGTTGCTCTTTTGTGTTAACGACAACCTAAAAACAAGCATATTTCATTTAAAAATTATTACTTTTTAATTAAATTAATATTTGAATTTAAGTTTTTCTTTCGAAAATAATTGAGTATTTTATTAATCATCCAAATTTATTGTTCTATTCGTAAATCACATGTAATTATTCGTAATTCTTCATCTTGAGATATTAATGGCAAAATAAGAAAATGAAACACATAAGGTTTCTCTCATAAATACTTCGATTTCAAATATCTACTTATTTTAGTAGATACTTGAATTGAAGTTAGTATTGAAACATATTTTATTTTCTAATATTTCTGATATACGAGTATAAAAGCTTTCTCAATTATTTCTCATCAAACAGGTGCAAAAATGTCAAAGTAAAAATAATTTCAAAACTAATTAGTCAGCTACTTATTTAATGCTAATTCATAACGGATATTTTTTATACATTCGAATGACCTTGTATTCGTATATAATAAAAAGAAAAGAATTACCCTGATTTATAATGACAGAATAAGATTTAAAAGTCAAAATTACAATGTAAATTATATGAAAGTATTGCTAGTAATTAACTATATTCTTTTTATTAAAATTACACTTCAAATAATAATAATTCTATAGTGGTTACTCAAAATTGAAATCTATACAATATACGTGCATGATAAATTAAACAAAAGCTTAAAAGTAATATAATTTTTCATATTATTGTGTATATTAGCTTTATACGCCTGTTTCTTAATTAATCAAAATGTTTTGATATACTATATACCAGAGGTGGGGAACCTGCAACCTCAAGACCGCATGTGGCCTCTAAGGGTTTTTGTGCGGACCCGCCCCTCGTCTTTTGTATTTGTATGCCCTTTAAATATTTCATTGCTTTCATGTAAAAAATAAATGCAAATGTCTCACTAAATACGTTATAGTTTATCTTGAATTAAATTTATTAAACAACTAATTTGAAATTGTTTTGCTGTTATTTATGTTTAATTATTTATATGTATTTATGTATCTATGCATAAAAAAATATTGACTTCAAAATAAAAAAAAAATGAATTCTGAATAAATAAAGACTGAATTTAAAATAAAAACGAGAAAAAATGAAGTTGACCGTGTTAACTCTGTCATACCCGTACGAATTTGTTATCCTATAAAATAAATATGTCATAGCTGACTATGACAGACTATGACTTTAAGTGACCATATTACCATATTAATTTATGCAAAATTTCAGTGCTGTGTTGTCAATATTTTCTAAGAAATAGCCAAACTACTATTGATGTTGTATGGCAGCTACCAGAAAGAGCCAACTAATTTCCACGAATTTTATTAAACACATTGGGCCTACTAATTTATTCGCTTGTGTGCCAAATTTCAATCTCACATCCAATATTCCGATCCAAGGACTCCGATCATATCCAATTACTCCGATCCAAGTACGCTCAAATTCAAGTACTCTGATCATATTCAATTTAAATAGGGTCCCGGCATTTGCTACTACAAATGATTTTTGAAAATTTGGTGAACTTAGCTCAATTTGTTTTTAAGTTACCATTGGGAAGGACGGACAGATGGATAGATAGACAAAGCTAAATTGACGCTGATCAAAAACATACACTTGAGTCTATATCTCAGACCGTTATTTCTTAGCGTTACAAACGGTAAGGCAAATTTAGTATACCCTTCGAACATACGTTCGTACAGGCAACTGTACAAAAGCTACATTTATTGGTATTAAAACTTATGCGGCCTTCTTAGTTGTTGTTATTTTAAATTTGGACTCCATGGGTAAAAAGGTTCCCTACCTCTGCTATATACATTGTATATTATGTGTTTTTGAAATTCTAATAAAAAAAAAACACACAAGTTAGAATTATAAATAAAATTATAGAATTGATTTGAGTCATTGAATAAATTTCAATATTGTTATAAATAGCAAGAAAAAGTTTTAACAAACCAGACAGATAAAACTTAACAAGGTTTTAAGAGTTAGTTTGAAACCTAGTACAGTGTTACCAAAAACTTGTCCAGCATCGTTTCAGTTTTTTAACATTAAACAACATTTTTGTGTATTATTATCAAACTTACTAATTTTGTGGGACAGCTAATTTTTTTTCAAAACAAATTTACTAAAATTGGGAACCCATTTAAATTCATTTAAGTTTTGTTAAATTTTTAGTTCAGATGAATTCGTAATGCTGTGATATTAAATAATAAAATGCTTGACATAAATTTTTGAAATTTCAACATTGGCCCAGAGATTCAACATTATTGTAGAAAATTGTGGAATATAGTACGAATATTTTATATTTTTGTTTCAAAATTATATGATAACCCTCCCCAACGTATTTATAAACCTCCAAAAAGAAATTGAAATGAATTTATTATTATGTACATATACGAAAATTAAATGAAAATGTGAAAGTAAGTAAATGAACTATTTTGATATTACCCTACACACGCTTTTAAGGAAAGCACCCGATTTTACATTTTTTTGAAAAAATATAATATATACTCGTATTTTTCTAAGACTTACTAATTTTACTTATTTAAACTAATTGATAAATATAATAAATAAATGTGTTTAGGGTTTATCAATAAAGCAGTATAAAAACCTGTTATTACTATAACTAATTGCGATCACGTGTTTCAACTCGTTGAACAAAACATGAAAATTTCCCTGCCTAATAATAGTCACTCTTCCTTTGACGTCGTTTAAAGTTGTAGGTATATCTATTCTAATATTTCTTTTATATTATAAAGTCAATTGTGAAATTTTGTTTTGAGGCGTGAAGGTAAATATTAATTAATAAAAAAAATGATAGTAATTGTCGATTTAAATTTCGATTAGTTGAAAATTAAAACATTTTTATAAAATGTAGTTTTGAACAAAGTTAATATAATACATTTGTAATAATATTAAATATAGATACATATATATAATATTAAATATTTTGAATATAAAAATGTTAATTTAAATTGTCTTACTTTATCATTAAAATTTTTTAAATTAAAATTTACTCATTAAATGAATAAAAATTACAACTGCAGACCGCTTTCAAATTTTCTAAGATAGAAATTACAAAATAAATTATGCCATTGGAAGAATATGTTAAGAGTTAAAAGTAAACAAAAGATCAAAAATTTTTATGGTAAAATCCAAGAGTTTCAATTGACTTAAATTGGTTCAAATTCAATTATATGTACATATAACTTTTTTGAAAATTCGAAGCTTAAAATTCGAACTTTAATAATAATTATACATTTTTTCTAAAATAAAATATAATTTATGAAAATTCGATTGGTTTACTACATTATTTTAGTACTGAGAATATTAATACTGTTATAAAAGACTTTTATAACTTTTCAACATTTATAAATGTTTATTACATTTATAATTTTTAAGAAAAATTCTATGTGGGGCACATTCCCTAATTTATATTTAATAAAAATATGAAAGTTATTTAGAATAAAATATTTTTATTTATTTTAGATAATTCTAGATATTGTTTTAATTTTGTAAGTTTGTTGCCAGAAGGCATTTCAAATAGCGCCAAAAAACCAATTTCAAAACCATTTTCAAATAGTTACATATACGTAACAATATTCCAATCCTTCGCTAGCCAATATTTGGCAGCATAAGTAATATCTTATCCTTGCCTGTCGAACGAGAATATAAATAATAAATAAATATATATATACTAATATGTACTTGTATTTTATTTGAAAAAGTTTGAAACAATACTGATTCGAAGATTACTTTTGTAAACCGTGAAACTCTGCATTCAGAAAAATTTTCTTTTCAAAATTTACCAAACAGTAGACATTAGAGTCGTGATGACAGTGAGCTCTTATGTCATTTAACTGTGTTAAAAAATTGACATGTGACATAATTTCATTCAAATAATTATAGTATTAAAAGTGGCGTAAATTTATGAGAAAATTTTTGTTTACTATAAGTTTCTAGCTATAAAATTACTATCAAATTAATATCTATAATTTTTTATTGTAAGACCATAAACGGTGTTTACTTTCTTAATTCCCATAAAAACTAGTTTTGTTGATAATTTCCGAGAAATAATAGAATATTAATCATGCATGAAAATGGTCTACAAAACTATAATTATAAGTCGTTTATATGAAATATTTAAAGCTTTTTTGATTTAATTTAAAAAATATATTAACATTAAGAAGATTGAAGAAAACATTTTTATATTCTTAAATTATTCAAATAATATTTTTTTAAATTTCAATTAGGTGAGCCAATTCTATATTGAAAAACATCTATATTCACTTTTCAATTCTTTCTAAAAAGAAATTTTAGTTGCAACTCATGTTAGAATAACAAATATTTTCAATTCATTTCTAATTCAACTAAAATTTCATTATTATAATTTTCAAATACAATTATTACTTCTCTGAATATACTATAATTGGTACTATAATTGTATTAGTATATATAATCCAAGGAACGAAAAATAATTATGTTGAATCTCATGTACTTTTTAAAGCTTTCAAAAAATAAGTAATGTACTCAATAAAATTTCACGCCTAATGACGTTGTTCTTGAAATACTAAATATTATAATTATGAATATCACTTAATTAAAATTGATTAAACTTAAACTTTATTAAGTTAATTATTATTACTTTGTAATAATAATTATTGTATGTAAAAAAAATTTATACTTAGTTTTAGAATTAATTACTAACACTAAAAAAAAATTTTAACACTTTAAACGTAAATTTACATGGAAAATAATTTAGGAAATTTACGGTTCGGTAATTTTTTTTTTATAAGTTATCTAAACGAACAATGTCAATGTTAACCTTACCCATTTGAATGCGAATTTTAGAAACATTTTAAAGTTGCATTAAATTAATAAAAGAGAAAAAATTATTTAATCATTGTCACCAAAAAATTATTTATAAAAATTTTTGTTTTTCAATAACTTTGTTAACTAAAAAAATATTGTCAAATATTAAATGAATTATACGAAAGTGAAAATAAGAACTAATTCTAAATGTGTACTTGTTCATCTATTATTTTGAGCAAAATAGCGTTACTTTATAAATTTAGGTAAATAAGAATACGGAGGCAAGACCAAAAGTACAAAAAGTTTCCAACACTTGAATGCATATGGTTAGTATTCGAGCCTATTTATTGTAAGTTTTTTTTTTATCTCCAAGTGCATTCAAGACTTGTCTTGAGCACCAGATGTTTTATTGTCAAAAAAAAGACCCTTATTTGAAAATCTTTAAAAAAATTTGCAAACGTATTTAGCACCAAAGTTCTATATCTAAATTAAATGGTTGATAACTTAATTAAATGGACTAATAATATTTTTAATGAAAAACTTTAAAATGTCACTTAATTTATACATGTAAATACATTAAAGTAAATAAAAAGCAGAAACATGTGTAAAGTGTAATCATTTTGGTAAAATAAAAAATATTGTTATTGAAACATTTTATGAAAAGTTAAAAACAAATTATATCACTAAGTAAAATAAATTATAGTTAAATACCGAACATTACACACATTTTGCACAATAGAATTACAGCTTGTATTAAACTTAAAATATAAATTAAGTTTTGCGCTAGCGTTGCAATTATTATCTAAAGGTCGTTTATACTTTCATTCTTTAATTATTAGAAAAGAGTATTGAATTCCAAGTTATTTTAAAAACGTGTTTTTTATACAAAGAAAAGCATGTATTTTTGAATGTACATACCCATAGTATTTGCAACTAATCTAAATAATTAGGGTATTGTAATTTAATATGAATTAAATGTTATAGAAATATTCTTATAGAATATTTAGAATAAGTATGCTATATAATATTTTTTAAATTAGGAATATATTTAAATATAATCATTTAAAGCAAAAAAATATTATTTAATTTAATATTGAGTAAATTTTTTCTACAAAATTTACATAGTGTTTAGCACAATTAGTTTTAAAACGATTAGTTCGTTAGTTTTAAAACGATAAAGTTTGTTGGATTAATAATGAATTAATAATGAAATAATTTAAATACATTTTGAGAAACTATAATTTCGCAAAAATCATATACAAAAATTTTCAACAATAATATATCTATTATTGGAAAACTTTATCCCTTTCTAGCTTTACAGTCAATAATGTTACTATTTTCACTTAAAGATTACACACACTTATTTACAAACCCAAATAAATAGTACATTTATGGCCTAAGAGGAGCGAAAATTATATGTACAGGCATACATATATTAAAATTACAAAACAGGGTGATTCATATCTAATAAAATATTCATACAAAGCGACATTATAATATCTCTATATTTGTTTCTTAAATTATCTTAATTAAGTTCAAGCAATTAAAATTATTTGAATTTAAAATATGTAAATTAAAACTATGTTTATAGTTAATAAGGATTAATATCACTCAACTTTTATCTATTAGCTAATGTTTTTTAATATACCTGAATCCATATATACAAACTTCTTCTACAAACATTATAACACCATTAAAATTCTCAACAAATTCAACTTGCCATCATAGTGCGTTTTAAAATTATAAAATTTAAAAATAGCCGATAAAATAAATTACAAAACAATTAACAAATTAACTAGCATTTAGAGACAAGAAATTCCAGTTAAGTTACTTACCTAAGGGCAAGTAACAACACTCAATTCACCTTGGCAATCTATTTTTAATATTTGAATAATGAAAATTTAACTACATATTAATAAACAAACTTATGTGTAAATAACACGAAATTGACAATCCTAAAATAATAACTTCTTAATAGTAATAAATAAACAAAATAATCATATGGAATTGCGAAACTTCAACAGTTTTTATGATGTTTACATACTTATATACAGAATTTCCAGAAAAATCGATGAACTTTCTATAAAATTGGAATATAAATTATTCATTGAAAAATAAAGCATAATACAATAAAATTACTATGAGATAATGTTAAAAATATTATGAATAAAATTTTATTTACTTTAAAAATACTCGTACTTCACATACTTATAATTTAATAGGAAATTCAAAATAAAAATAATTACTTAAATAAAGCTTGAGAAGTTAACAATGCCGCGAATTTATTAATGACAAATAAGGTCTACTTAATGCGTCACTTGAAATAAAATAGAATTACATCTCATTTAAATATTTTAATAATAAGTTTTGTATTAACAAAATTGTTAAAACACGCATACACCAAAAAATAGTTTGTGGTTAAAAATCTGACGAAAAACTTCAAAGTCAAAGAAGGCTGCCTCGAGTAAATTATGTTTATGTAGATTCTGTAGATTTCGTTTATGTAAACAAATAGTCTGTGTAGACTCAATTTAAAAAAAATTGTATCTTTTTCTAATTTTATTTATAATTTGCAAACTAAGTTAGAAATACATTGTTTAATTTTTTATTTGAAAAATTATCAGTAAATTTAGTTTAAATTTTAAACAAATTGTTCAATCTACTTCAAAATTTTTTACTTCTCATTAGAGAAAAATTCATTAATTGCAATTTATTGATTACAATGAATTCACTTTTTTACAAAGAACTACATATAATATTACAAATAATTTTCAAATAAAATCATATTATATCCTCAACCTCTGTAATAGCATTTTTATTTTATCAAAGTATTTATTGTACAAATTACTCTTTGTATTCTTACCTTTTCATCCCCATTTAGTTGTTTTAATTTAATATCTTTATTAACATCTTTATCTATTCTTATTTCAGTTCTACCATCATCACCAATAAATGTTGGATTAAAAGATCCATTTTCCTCATGACTAGTACTTTTCATCATTTTAACTTATTTTTATTTACAATTTTTTTTCAGGAACGAAACTAATTTAAAAATATACTTGTTCTTTGATATGTTTGCATAGATTTGTTATAATAATAGTTTTGTAATATGTTTTCCCGCTGATATAAAAATTCTAAAATTTTATTAATACAAATAAAGTACTCGTATGTTCTTCACTTTTTTTTTTGCATACAATATATTCAATTTAAACAAATACTCTTTAAATAAACACGTACATACATACATAGGTATAACGTATGATTAATTGTTATATAAAATAAACAAATTTGTTTTTCTATATTATATTTTTGTATAAATTCATATCGGAACACCACATTTGAAACCCAAATAGAAACTGACAAAACATAATATTAAAATAAAAAATTAAATAATTAAAACCATATTTTTTATTTAAATATTTAAACCCGTACAAAACATTGAAATTATTTTTATTTGTAATGTTCTTCTCATGTATATATATATGTAGGTAATTTTGATAAATTACTAGAACAAAAAAAAAATTAATTCACTGTATACAATAAATTATAAATATTTATAATAATTCATAATTGTATTATTAAGTAAAATCTAAATATATTTGAAAGTTTCTCGCTTGTGTTCTGTTTATTATTAACGCAATATAATTACTTCAGATTCATACGATTTTTAAAATGTTTTTTGTGATACTAAGATTTATCATATTAACTATCATTCTATTAAAATTCTTATTACAATTTGTAGGTTTAATAGGACATTCGAAATAATTTATACGTAATTTCATTTTTAACGTAAAAATCGCTTTCATTCAAAAATTTTTAAAACCTATAAAAAATTTGTATGCATTTATAAACTTATAATAAAATCGTTAATGCAATATATGTATGCATACAAATAAAACTCTACTTTAAATATCCCATTTATAAATTATTTTTAAGATAAAAAATCCATCCGCATATGAAAAATATGAAACAACAAACATTTGAATTTTCGGAATACTCAAGTTATTTTATTAAAGACAAGAACCATAAAAAATTATTCACCTCACAAAAACAAAATTCAAAGAAATTATAAAATTAACAATAAAAAATATTTAAAAGATGAATATAGATTTTGTTAACAGTGTTAATTTTTTATCCTAATATTTACACATTTATAGAAAAAAGGTTTTTAATTTATAAAACACATTTAAAAGAAAAAAATAAAAAAAATATATTGTGCACGTTTTCGTATTCCACTTTCTATAAAATTTTTATAATATCATTAATGAACATAAAATGTGTCAATAACAAATATGTACTGTAACTTGATGATAAAAATAAGTAAAAATTTCTATATTTAAATTGTAATTAAGGGAATAATTTTTATTTTATTTTTGTTTTCGTATTCTGAAAAAACTTTCAATGAATCTATTAATTAAGCAAAGGGACCGCTTTCAGACTGGTTTTAGGTTGGAGTTATTTTTATTAACTTTATATTTAAAATTTACAGTTTAAATATTGAAAATTTCAAGAAGAATTTGCATATAATTAAACTTCTGAAACGACTAATTATAAAAATTTGTTACCTAATTATAAAAATTAGTTGTTATTTGTAACATTGAATTTCTCTTCAGAACTTCTTTATTTTTTAAATGTTTTCAAACTTATATTTCATTTTTTCTTTAAAATATGTTTTCAAAACTATTAGATAAAATTTTAAATTAATTTTACCCGCTAATTTACATTTAATTTTACAAGTTCAATTTCCATTAAAAACTCAAATATAATTTTTATACAATTGTATTATAAGGATGTAAAAAAGGTGAAATTAAAATGCTCTTTTTTAATTTTAATTTTTTCAATTTCGATTCGATGTTTCAGTATTTCACATGCTCAAAATTTTGAATAATTATAAATAAATTTATTATATATACTTTAAACTAATTATAATTTTAAACATTTTTCAGATTTTTACATTCTTATTTAATTAGTGTAAGTAAATAAATTTTTTCTCACTTATTTTTGCCAAAATTAGCAGAACGATTTCAAAATTATGTAATACTCTTAATTCTTTAATTTTAGTTACATATAAAATAATAACCTTTAATTTAATCAAAAATTTATTTATTAAATTAATTACTGCTAACGGTAACAATCTCTTAAAAGAAGTAAGATTTCCGACGCGTTTTTTTTTTACTTGTTCCTTGTTTAGCTCAGTTTCTATAACTATACTAGTTGAAGTTTGACTTTCAATTCGTGGGATTTAAATGGTTTCAATTTACTATCTGGGTTTGTTTTTATATACTTATATAGAATTTGCAAAAATTTCAAAGAGAGACGAAAAGAGATAGAAATTAAAATATATAAAAAAGCAAAAACAAAAAATAAAAAAACAGAGAAAATTTAAACAAAGCTTAACAGTGTACGCTTCTTTGCAGGTGTTAATTCTCTTTTTTTTATTTATAATTGCTGCATTTCACGAAAAGGTAGTTTTAAAATTCTGTGCTTTTTATTAGAACTTCTAATACTGAACACGTACATATGTAAAAAATTTAGTATATTTTATTAATTATAATTTATTTTTTTTTAAATTGAAAAAGGCCAGTCTTTATGAAAAACCCATAGCTAATACTAAAAATTTTCAATATTTTATTATTTTATGACAATAAAATATACAAGTACATTGTCTCAGTAAATATTTTGGGAAATTATGAGACACATGCGGGAATTTTTTTCAATAACAACACAAGTGAAATTACTGTAAATAATTATTTCAATGATATTAGGGTAACTTAATAAGCTTTTGAAAAAATTCTTCTCATAATAATGCATGAATTACAAAAAAAAATTCATGAAATTTATAAAATTTGTAATTGAAAAATTACTTATGTGCCCATAAATGTACTAATAATTATATATAGCGTATAAATATTTATATAGTAAGCTTTAACCAAAAACATGTAGTAATTTATAAACTAAATAAATAAACAAAAAACTTGTTAATTTGAAATTTGGCAGAGCGTGATAATTGTAAATAATTTCTTTAAAGTAAATGAGTACAAATAATTTTTAATAAAAACAAATCTCTTTTTTAATAAAAAAAAGATTTAAAAGTGTTGTTTAACTACTAAATTTATAACAATATACAAATTAATATAATTGATAAATATATGGTAAAACAAAAGTCATTTGAGTATTTAAGTATACTACTCGAATTTAAGTTTTGTTTTAATTCAAAATTATTCTTACATTTTGTGAGACGATCACTTTTACATAGTATTCAGATGACACATAAATATCCGTCGGTTTGAAACAAAAAGTAACTACTTTTCTATAATTAGAATTTTTCTATTTCCGTTCATCTACCAATCGTTCTTTACAAAAATTTTCACTTTCGTAATAAATTCACTTGTACTACACTATAAAGTTTTGAGAACTGATTAGTGTGCATCTCAAGCAATATTTACTTATATGTTTTTTTAATCAAATTTTTTTCTTAATTTTTAGTTAAAACATAAATTTCTTTAAGCCAGTTGTGTTTCTTTGCTTTTCTCTTAAGCGTCTTTTTAAATCAATTTTCTTCAATCAACCAAGAACAAATTAAATAATATCATATATAGCTAGACTTCCTTTAATTTGACATCATTTTTTATTCATAGACAGGTTAGAGTCAACCTGAATATCCAAATATGCTAGACATTATTTTCGAAACCAAATAAGAAATTTCTTAGAAATTAAAGAAATTAGAAGTTTTTTTAATAAATTGTTTAATTCATATTATATAATTGACAAAATAGATTTTACATGTTTTAAGAAATATTTAAGCGATATATCATAATAGTAATATAAGTAAGTATTATAATAGTAAAACTACATTTGAGCCAAATTATATTTTTTTTAAAAAAATTACCAGTCTAAAACATCAAATTGTTAATTGAAGGGGTTAAATAATTGAAGGTTTTTTAATTTTTAGTTTTTATGTCATTTTGTGCGTTATTCTGTTATGATTAACACTTAACTCAATTTTCATTTTGTTAAATTCACTAAAGGTTTTTTTTTTTTTTTTGCAAAAAAAGAAGTCAAAACGTCTATTAATAGCAATTAAAGTCAATGAAAAATGTAAATACGTAACTAAGATTTTAACGTCACAAAAATTTAATTTACGTATTTTTATATACATACATATTATATAATATATGCTTAGTTATAAAATCAATTATTTATACGAATGTGTAAATATTTCAATTTCTTTTATTTTCAATCCTTCATTTTATTGCTGATTCTCACTTGCAAAAGGGGATGCCCAATTAACTTGTTTAAATTTTTAATTTCCAATTTCAATTAAATTTCGAACGTGCTTGGAAGTTATAATATTTATTGTATGTTATAATTTTGATATTTACATAATGGTTTTTAATTGGTAATAAAAAAAATATTCTAGTTATTTTTTAAAAAATTTACAAAGCAAAATTATGTACCTCCAAATAAAAAATTTATTTGTCATAATTATACATATGTATATTTTAACCTGATTATATTATTATATAGTTAAAATATATGTGTAGTTATATATGCGTAATATTATTTGATAGTTAATTTAGCTAATATATATATTAACTATATTATATTTAGCTAAATTTACTATCAATGACTAACAATATTTAAAAATTATTGTATTATATGTTTACAGATTTGCCTTACTTTAAACAAATATTTGCAAAAGGAAATGTAAAATAAAAACAGAATAATTAACTTAATTTTATCAAAATATTATCAAAATTAGCTTATGGTGAAACATTATTAGTTTTCCGTATTATGTATTTCATACAGGCAAAAACAAATATTGAGTTCAAATTTTGTATTATAGGCTTAACTCAACAAATTTTTAACCTTTCTGTTTCCATAAAAATTAGCACAAAAAACAAGCCATCGAATCAATATACAAAAACTTCTTCTCTAGAATGCTCTAACTAATTCAAAAAGCATAGAAAACACTTTTTTTTTTTTAAAATAAGTACGAATATTAAATTATTGAATTCAACAATATTTCATGATAAAATATGTATGTATAATAGATAACAAAAATTTCACTTATCTAATAAGAATAATACAAATTTATGTTATTTAGTTCTAGGTTTGATATTTATAGTTCGTAAAAGAAGTCCTAACAAAATTTTAATAAAAATAATGTCAACTATTTCATATACATCTGTACTTTTAACTCACAGCCTCAATTATTTTAAATATTTACTTGCACTAAATAATTACTGTACACTAGCTTCTCACAAAAAAAATTTAATTAGTTTTTTAGTAAGGAAATTCAATTATATAAATATTCCAATAAAAAATTGTTAAAATATTCTTTCAATTTTATGAAAATGTTGCGTAATTCACAGAAGAAAAAAGTTTCTGAATAAATTATCCTACCGTTTAATACCCTTTTTAATACCTTTTTATTTTTAACCTTTTTTACTAATTGAGAATAGTAAATTAAAAAATGTACATCATCTGCTTATCGGTACTATGATGTGTATTAAGTCATTAACTCCAAGACAACTCAAACAAGACATCTTAATATTTTTGCATATGTTTGTATCCAAAGTATATTTTTCAGAAAGTCTATATCGCTGAGCGGCAAAACAATTTTATTTGTTGTTTAAAATTTAATTTTAATTTAAAGTTAGTGAAATTTAATGAAGATTTATAATTTATATTAATTAAATTTTGTCTTTTGTTCATAATATTTAGTATAAAACAAAGGTGTACGTTAAAAAATAGTACTAAAGTTTATTTAAAAAGAAAATGTGACTTAATAAATTAGTAAGATTCGGTGTACGTTTTTAGAGTTTCTATTGTAATCATATTTAAATAAAATATAATAATATATTTTGATTACGTTCATATAAATAGGTGTTGTGTAATATAAATAGTATTAGTAAAATTCATAACTTAATTAGTGCAATAGGCACAATCCTATAAATATATATTATGTTCTTGTTATTGTGTGTTTCAATAGTAGATTGTATGTAGCAATCAATGTAAACAAAACAAATACTTAGTAATCATGTGAATTACAGTATAAGCAATGTAGAGAACATTTCGTCGGTAATTTCTTCATGCCTCTGTAGCTCAGTTGGTAGAGCGTCCGCCTAGAAAGCGGTAGGTCACTGGTTCGAGTCCAGTTCGAGGAGAAAAATTTTTTTAATGAAATTTTCTGCCTTTAACTCGTTCCGTTGATTACGTCATCCATCTGTTCTGCAGTTTCATGAAGAAATTTCCATTCAGATAAATTAGTAGTGTAATAAGCACATTCTTATTGATTCCGCAACTATGATGTTGTATTAGTAAAATTCATAATATGATGACCAACTTTGATTAAACCGTATGTATGTATGAGTAAATTATGTACTACGGAGTCTGGAGAATAAAAAGTTCTTTGATTAAGTCTAAAGTTACATTTATAATATTTATATGGATACACATTTATAATATGTATATATACTCATATAATACGAGTACATATCATAAATGTGTCGTATATGTTAATTTGAAAGTTTTGCACATTTACTAGAATATTAAACTTATTAGAATTTTGATCAACACTAGGTTGATTCAGCTTTCTTTCAACATACAGAAAGCATGGTAATGTTAACATCAGCAATTTCAAGTGCTTCAGAAAAAAATGATTCAGAAATATTTATGGCATATTTATACAATACAATATAAGAAAATCTTACTGCATTCACTTTAAAATAGTAATGCAAAATTACATACAAAGCTTTTACTAAGTAAAAGAATTCTTAGAAACTGACATAGCCACTTAAATAAAATTATATATAGGAAATCCCATGATTTTTAAATACGTTTTTAATTATAGAACGTGGAGATGAACACAGCGGTTTTTTATGAAAAATTATTTCGAGTCATCATGAATACCTAATATATTTTTCATTTTATCAAATATTATTAATAAAATGAATTCTATTATCACATAACTCTCACAATATAAATATATATATATATATTCTATTATAAAACCTATAAAACATAATATAAAACCTATTACTCACATAAGACAGATATAAAGATTTGTAAGAAGAAACAGGCACATAAGACAGATATAAAAATTTCAACTAAAATATTAAATAATTAACATCTTATGTGATCTTATGAGCCTCAATGAGCATACTAAACATCTTCTGACATTCCGTATATAAATTTAACATTTTTATGTTGACGTTGATATCTTGAAATGAAAC